ACATCAGTGATGAAATAAAAAAGCGTGCACTTGCGGCAAATAAATGTCTCCATGGCCTTAGGAAACACCTGAAATCCCAATTAATACCCAGGAAAACCAAAACTATGATGTATAAAGTACTTATAAGATCAGTGCTATCTTATGCCTCTGAGACCTGGCCACTGTCAAGATCGGATGAAAGACTGTTAAGTATATTTTAAAGGAGGATCCTGAGATATATCTTTGGACCAGTGGAAGAAAATGAAATATGGCGGAAGAGGTATAACCATGAGCTATACAAACTATTTAATGAACCAGACAGTATTGCATTTATAAAGGTGAAAAGGCTTGAATGGGCTGGACACATAATATGTGCCAACGAGAATATACTTAATACTAAACCAGAAGGAAATAGGAAAGTGGGAAGACCAAGATTGAGATTGGAAGAATGTGTGTGGCACGACATAAGAATTTTGGGTGTAAAGAACTGAAGGAATGTAGCACCGAATGGAGAAGAATGGCGAGCAATCCTGAGGAAGACCAGGGCTCACAAAGGCCAGTGATGATGATGATGATGATGATGATGATGATGCTATACACAGTCGATAGGACTCATTGGACGGGGGATCAGCCCGTCGCAAGGCCTCTACCTGTACACAAACACAGAAAAACGCACACAAACATCCATGCCCTGAGTGGGATTCGAACCCACGATCCCGGCTTCCGAACGAGCGAAGACATTGCATGCCTTAGACCGCTCGGCTACCGTGACCGGCGTGTGACGCATAGAGGGCACCGGAAATTCCGAAATCATTAAGAATTCATTCTTTCGTGTTAATATTATTTCCGTGTTTATAAACTAGGACATGTCGATAATTAAATGCTGGCATCTGCTAAACGGTTTGTCCCCCAGGAAGTGCACCAGCATGACCGTTTCCGTTTATGAAATTCTTAATGATTACAGGCGCCCGTATTTTGTCACCTTTCGTTTGTCCTGCCTAGCCGTTGGAGCCCACTGAAGCTTCGTCTCAGTGGCTTATTTTACCAAATGGACTCTATAAACTCTAGCTTCTGACATTACCTAACAATTCCCTCTGTTGGAACTTCATGCAGCGATTCTTTCGCTACAGCATAAGCTGTGTATATGGGTCATACTCTTTCGATCTTATGACATACGAACATTATGTTCGGCTGACAAATTTTATCTAATTCTAAAATATATAATATATTCCTACAACCTTAAGACCAGGGCCTTTCTTACATTTCTCAGTGTGTGTGTACACTTCTTTGTCGGGATATGCATGATAAAGTAAAGCTACAGGTAAAGTTATCCCTGTGCTTAATTAATTAAGCCCCACGCCATGAAGAAGTATATAGAAGTTGAGGTACAGGTCCACTTTTGTTGACCTCGGCTCTAGATGGGGGTGAGTGGTCGGCTTTACCCCCCGCCCGCTTTACTCCCTGCGAAAGAGCCCGCAGTACCCATTGGGTAGGTGGCTGGGTGGGTCCCAGAGCCGGTCTGGACGCTGTGGTGAAGATAAAATCTCTCGCGCCTGCCGGGAATCAAACCCCGGCCGTCCAGCCTTGGGTGGAAACCTGCTTATTTTGTTAGAGGTTATGTTTAAGTATGGTATTGTAACCTTCCCAAGTAGCAGTACTTGCTGTGCTACTGATCTTAGTCTTCACTGAACATTACGTTCAGAGCCTGTGTTGCTGGAACCATTTCGTTAAAAATGAGACTTAGATTCAATTTCTCCAGCGAGGTTCTGGGGATCATAAACAGTTTTTTCCTTGTGGATCAGAGATCATAAAATCACACTACTTTGAGGCAGTGGTGAGGTCGGGCCAATAGGGCATCTGCTTTCTGTGTGTCAGCAAATTTTCGGGAATTTTCTTCACCACTGTATCTTGAACATGTCATGTGCACCTTTGGATCGCTAGAGGGCGTACCGTGATTTCTTGAAAGTACGAGTACTTCCAATTTAATTATATTTAGTGAGGTAATTTCCATTAACTGCGGACATTTGTTCAGAATCGTTAGATCCATTATCGGGAAAACTGAAATATTGTGTTTCGGAGCCTTCTAAAGAGACTTATTTTTGTTTATGTTTTACCTTGGATGGTCATATTCACCGGTCCCCGAATTATATGGATACGATAAATCTGAATAAAAGCCTAGAGAAGCGCACATACAGACAGACAGACAGGTGGCATTCCAAAGAGCAATTTTTCATATTTGGGCGCGCTGAAAACACGTAAATCCCTCAAAATCTGGAGACTGATTTGACTTCCTAGTGCTATGTATATGAGGAAGTGAAAACAGTGAGTTGTGCGGCCCACATATCACACGCCCCCTCAGTCCGACGTCACAGGAGTCAGGTACGTGCAGTAACGTGACCAACGAAGGCTTTCGCATAAAGTTATTTTATTTTCTTTGGATGGAGTGAAACTGAGTCCACTTGATACATCGGCCACTATTTCGCCTATTATAAAAATCCCGAATGATAGATGATGATTTTGGAGCAGTCTGTGGAAAGAGAATTGGCAAGCAAAACCGAGGTACTCGGAGTAAACCTGCCCCAGTGCCACTTTGTCCATCACAAATCCCACATCACCTGACCTGGGATCGAACCCCCGCCACCGTGGCGGGAAGCAGGAGACTTACCGCCTGAGTTATGGCACGGCCCTTAGGATTAAATGACGCAACGACGGATTTTCTGAGATATTTGGGCAACCCGTCGACTTCGGTCCCTCATCTCTCATTGGCTGACTCGTATCTAATGAGAATGTTTGAAGAGTGATGTGGAAGTTTCATCATTCATGTTTGACGATCACTTCACCTGTTCCTGATAACGGAGGGAGATAACTCCGAGATGTCGCAGTTTTACGCTGGAGTGACTTATCTGATAGCCCAACGGGATTTGATTCCCTTGTCGCCATGAGATTTTCAAGTGGTATGCTGTGTCCAAAACATCTTTGTGGGCGAGTCATCAGATGGAGACGTAGATCATTAAACCGCCATGTTTCGTCACGACTGCCCCCTAGCGGTGAAACCTGCAAGTACGCCAAAGCGCCTGCTTTGTGTCTGTCTTGGTTGTTGCGCTGCTGAGTTCGGAATTTCCGCAGGGGCTTATGAATTACTCTGTATTTCGAATGTGCAATGACACTCAAAATCACCATACTGGACAGACCATTGAACGCAGAGGATTCTTCATCCTTGAGGTCGTCTACCCAAAGTATGACGTACAATATGTAGATTTGTATATAGGTCAATCCTGTTTGAAAAGTATTACGTCAATCAGAATAACAAATAACAGGTTTTGTATTGTATAAAGTTCGCTATTAAATGTACTCGATTCTGACTGCAATAGGCCTCTATATGTTGCTACATTCTGCTAGTTTTCTTTATGTTTAGAGCATGTCATAACAACATACTACAGTTTTATGGTGCCTGTTGTTACCAGAAGATATAATGCCAATACGCGAATGTTATCAGATGCACATTTCGCATGGACGTGTCGTAAATTCGTATGGATTGTAGCTACTATAGGAACGCGTTGGTAACGAGATTCGAAATACTATAATTACTCTGAACATGCTGATGTCTCTTAGGATCCGATATCATATTTTGCTGGATGAAATTTTAAGCATTTCTCCCGCTAATATTGTTTGAGAAACCTGTTGCATTAGTTGTGCTCGTGAATGTACGTGTATGCAGCCTTGTAAATGTAACACTTTCTAGGTTTCTGGTTAGAATACCAATTAGTCAGTGCTTTGATATTGTACTTAAGACATGTTTCGGTCACATGTGGCCATCAATATGACGACTTGCATGTAGTGCTACTCTGTGGGCTAATGTCCCACGGTACGCAAGACTTGTAAGTGTAAAGTTTATTAAAACCAAATTGTGTTCTTCCTAAAGTAATTTCAAAATAGCATGTTGTGTTTTCTTCTATAGCGTGATTCTCTCGCTAAGAAACCCAAACATTCCTCAGTAACTTTGGTATGGCTCCCTATGTCCAAGAGTTGCTTCCAACGGATTTGGCAAAATGCGAACAGTGTTGTCTATGGTTCCAATGTTTAGTTGGGGAACGTCCGGTGGTTTTGGACATTACATGGTTTACGAATGAAGCCTGGCTTCGTCTGAGTGGCTACATAAACTCGCAAAACGCGCGTGTATGGGCAGAAGAAACCCCATATGAAATTCATTCAGAGCCTTTACATTCGGAGAAAATTGGGGTGTGGTGTGCATTGTACCGTAGACTAATTATCAGTCCCATATTCTTCGATCAAATTGTTACCACGGAGGTGTATGTGAATATATTCAGCGAATTTGTGAATCAGTTAACAGATGACGAATTAACGGAAGGTTACTTGCAACAAGATGGCGCAACGTGCCACACATCTAATACAATCATGAGGGAAACTGAAATCGATGACCGATTAATTTAGAAAAATCTGTGGTCTCCAAGATCACCAGACCTGACACCACCTGAGTTCTTCCGATATCACATTACCAGATGTCTTCGCCAATTTGTAGACTCTCGTACAAAAATGCTTCGATGCTGGAGGGGCCATTTTCAACGGCTGCTCTAGGTAGACCTGTTTCGCAACATACAAAATATGTACATGTCAATTTTCATAGGGAACCATACAAAAATTAAAAAGTTACTGAGGAATGTTTAGGATTCCTAGCGAGACAATCAACCTATATATTCTTTCTTTTTGTGTTATGTTTTGTTGTCGTGGCAGCAATGTGTATTTTCGGTTTTTTATACTCTGTGGTGGCTATTGTGTTGATTACATACTGTCGGCTTCTTAGATGTGCAAATTTAAATTATATCTAGTACGCTAGTAGATATGTTAATATTCAGAGGGTTCCGGGTTTGAACCTGACTATGCCCCTTATATGTATATAAATAAAAACATATGCAAGTGTAATGATTACCAATCACTTGGAGACGATATTTGAGTCAACTGTCGAATCATTGACTTCTTAATATACAGTGTCCAAATCATAAGCCAACGGCCATGCCATGTTCATAACACCGGTTCTAGTCCGATCACCGAAATTAAGTGACATTGGGCGGGGTTAGTACTTCGATGGGTGACCGCTTGGGAACACCACGTGCCGTTGGCAATACTTTTTGTGGCATATGTTAACGTAGTTGGTTCAGGCATCATGCTACAAGCCGGAAGGTCGCGGGTTCTAATCCCGATGAGGTCATTCGATTTTTTTCAATTTACCTAATGCTTTCAGTCGACTATGGCCCTGAGGTTGACTCAGCTTCTAACAGAAATGAGTACCAGAGATCTTCCTGGGGAGGGAGGGGGGGAGTTAAGGGCGGCCGGCGCGTAAGGTTGACAGCCTTACCGCCACCTGTGAACCGTTTGTTTAGAACAAGGGTCTCCAAACTACGGCCCGCGGGCCACATGCGGCCCGCGATGTGATTTTATCTGGCCCGCGACAGAATTCTGCAGAAATGTGCCAATTGAACTAATTTTCCAATGAGTACTGGTAAATGTGATCCCGAGCTTATTGACCTGACATATTATACTGCAGTTCGATGGCTTAGCTGTGGAAAGGTTCTTTCGCGCTTCTTTCAGCTCAGGAATGAAATTGATATATTTCTTACCGAGAAAAACCATCACGAACCACTTTTATCAGATACCAAGTGGCTTTGGAAATTAGCAGTTTTGCTGATCTGGTGAACCATATGAACCATTTGAATTTAAAGTTGCAGGGTGAAAATAACTTAGTCTGTGATTTATTTGCACTTATCAAGGCATTCAGAGCAAAGTTGATACTTCTGGAAAGGCAAGTGAAAAATTGTAACTTTGTTCATATGCTATACGAGTACTGTGCAGAGTTGCAAAGGGTGAAGCAGAATTTCCTTCCTCGTTTGCAACTTTAGTCATTTTAGATTTGAAAGAACAATTTCGGAAGCGGTTTGCTGATTTGGATTCCAGTGATCAGGAAATTAGATTGTTTCAAAATCTCAATTTAATCAGATTTTAAGAATGCAAAAAGAGTTCCATCATTCACATTAATTGTTTTATTATAATTTGTGATTAAAATGTGAGCATTTGCTGCTATTGTCTGTTGTCATTAATATACGATAATTTATTCTCATGTACTTTGTATTTAGTTTATGAAATTCTGTGCTTTCAATAAAACTCATATACCTAAAGTTATTAATTTCATATTTTATCCGGCCCGTTGAAAGTGCTGAATTACCTGATGTGGCCCGCGGTTCGAAAAGTTTGGAGACCCCTGGTTTAGAAGATGAGGGATCCTCGACGTCTCACAAGCCTTTTGACCCCCACGGCCTGTTACAGGAATACCTTTACCCTTTTCATGTTCCCACGTTGAATTTCATTTTTCTAAGTGTTATAGCTTAACTAGAGCTCTGCGGGTGGGTGTTCACACGCCTGAATTCACTGCTTGGTGGGCGGGGCAGACACCAGTTCAGAGGACTGGCACAAACAGCACGTCCTTGGCTGCCGATAATTTTCCCCTGCGATCCTTTCAGGCATTGTCTTACCGCCACATTTCGCCTACCAGACCTGCACAAAGCAGACCCGCAGTGTCTGGCCGGCCGGAAGTATATAACACATTTCATACTTTTATAGTATGAAAATGATTACAGTACACATCTAATGATCTTTAATAGTTGGATACGTTACATATTATTCGTGTTAGATCTGTCCCAGCTGGAATATTCTCATAACGTGACCTACAAAGAGCCCAGGGCGTTTCCTCTTATAACTTTAATCTCATTATAAAAACGAAGGTCATTAAGTAACCAGTATGCAACCCTATGTGCATCTCCTTTCTGCCTCTCAGTTATGCCTCATCAAAATGCCGCTCCATAGCTCAGGCGGTTAGTTGCCGGCTTCCTACCGTGGCGGCCCGGGTTCGAGCCCGGGTCAGGTTATGTGAGATTTGTGGTGGACAAAGTGGCACTGGTGGAGGTTTTCTCCGAGTACTTCAGTTTCCCCTGCCAATCTTCATTCCACCAATTGCTCCACAATCACCCTCACCTATCATCTGGGGCTGGTACAATAGGCCAGAAGTGGCCGCAGTACAAGGGACTTAGTCCCACCCCACTGAGAATAATAATAGTAAATAAAAATAAAAATAATATGTCTCATCAACGATGTCCTTATACAAAGAAACGTCACTAAGCCTGAGTTACAAATTTGGAGAAGTATGGAAGGATTCAACTAGAGTGGCTAGTAAGAATTTAAGTTCACTTGTAAAAGGAATTTCAAGAACTACTGCATTTTCTAAACTATAATTCGGAAAGAAGACGATTTTGTAAATTAATAGAAGAGCGATATTAATGGGGCATGTATTTTAAAAATTGTGGATACTGTCTTAAATTAATATATTCTGACAGATTGGACCGCTTCTAGGAAGAGAATAGGTAAACACGTTCCCAAGCGTTTAAGAATAGGCGTTCAGTGCTACACAATGGTAAAGTAAAAAGTAAAGTAAAGCTATCCCTGTAGCAGGCCGTGGAGGGCCATAGGGTTGTGAGATGTTGAGGGTCCCACATTTTCTACACAATCGGCTCATAGATGGCGGCAAGGTTGTCAGCCCTACGCACCGGCCGCCCTTTACTACCAAGAATATTCCTGGTGCTCATTTCTATTAGAGGCTGAGTCGACCACAGGGCCATAGTGCGGCCGGAAGGATTAGGTGAATTGAAAAAAATCCAATGACCTCATCGGGACTTGAACCCGCGACCTTCGGCGTGTAGCATAATGCCTCAATCAACTACGCTACCACGTGCCGCTATACAATGGTTCTAGTACTATGATTCACTGCACGCAGTGTAACTTTAATTGTTGGAGGCCGATATCCACGGCAACTAACTGTTCAAAGCCCAGTAACGGAGGAACGCGATAATATTAACTTTTGCGGACGGTGTCGCATATTTGGTCGGCTGGAAGTTTATGTCAGACACAGAAGTGAGACAAAGAAGCCAGAAGAATTCAGAAGTATGAAATGAAGTCATTATTTTATGTGGTGTAGTTACAGTAAGATTGTCACTGAGCAAACTTGCGACGTTTCCCGCCCAACAGCAGTCTCTAATACCTCCGGTAGATGGGGGAAGCATTATAGATACTTCTCAGCCAGTAGAGCCGGTCTCGCTGGCTGGGCGGGACTGATGGTAAGCACCAATACCGGTAGGATATAGAGGCTGGTAGAAATCATAGAGGGAAGCACAGTGGACCACTACAGGTCTAAGTGCATGGGNCGCTGTTGACTCGCGTTGCCTAGCGACCAGGATGCTAGGACTCGGCTAACTTCGGCTCACTTCGGCTTCGCTCGGCGCATCACGGCTGACGGGGGGGAGGGGCGTCATCCATAGCTCAACATGTCACAATATTATAATGTTAATATACTCGTAATTTATACAGTTAAGGCGGCTGATTTATTTTATCTTCTAACATTTTTAGAACATCATTATTGTTTTTGTTATTATTTATTTATTACGCAAGCACCTTGGCCGTCACACCGCAGTAATTGTTATATACCAAATTAGCTCAAACATTTAATGTAAAATCGTTTTTCAGAACCTGATGCTCGCTCAAGTGTTCAGAAAACTCCCTCCTTTCAAGGAAATTAAAGATTCATAACCGTGTCCACAAAACACCGTCACTGGTTTATATCCTCAGCCAGATGACTCTAGTACATATCCTCACAACCTGCCTCATTACAACCCAAGCTTATTTTAGTGTCGTTTCATATTTGGTATTGTCCTTCCGGTTTTCTAAACGACATTTTGTAATAATATGTCACGTCATCAGTGTCATGTGATCCTTCTATCTCATATACTTGAGGCAATTTAATTGTACGGAAAATGTAGTTAGATATATTATAATTATTGGTTTAAATTTCGGATAGCCAAAAGCGGAACCTAATTAGTGAACATATGCGGGCCTCGAGTCCTCATGTTGTCTTCTTCGCACGTTTTTTGTTTGCATGCGTTTCAGTTTAATTATTCTGGCGACTTTCGGAAATGCGGTCGCGTTTTTGAACACGCATGGATACGGCCATGTTTTATCCGGTAACAAGCAGGTCGAGCTGTTTGATGAACGACACACGCGTATTATTGATCCTGGCTGTGTAAGTCAGGGAAATACCGGACTTCATGTCGAGACGAGTTTATTCGCAGCTGTGGGCACAGCCCATTCGTAACAAAAACATGTTCACTTGATAATGAACTTAAAATCACACTACACAAATAATTATTTCTTTAAAACATGTTTCGAAAAAAAATCGATCATTTTCATGTCACCAGCCTGCCCAAATGTAAAACCACCAGCGGCGTTATACAACCACACTATTTTTTTTTATCATTCTAAGGCCCTTGTATATGTTTCTTCTGAGTATTCTGATAGATTATGATGAAACTTGACATATCGGACACTTAAATAATGAGGCCATAGTTACACAATTAAGAAAAATATTTTATGGCCTTTGGAAACCAAAATTACTGTTGACTTAATGTGTGTAATAAGGCTATCTGTGTAAGTGCTCTCGTTCCACACATAATCTGACGGAAAGCAGAGCACAAGGCCGCTTTCCATTTGTCTCCAACATTATTTGGTGTTAATTTCGGAATTGTTCCAGACGAATTTCGATTGGAGATTATAGATTTACAGTGCAATGAAGACCTAAGAGAATATTTCGAGACATTGCACCTCTTCTATAAGCTCCGTGTGATAATATTCTGGTGCTCATTAAGAAGAATTACAGATGACAAGACTTTTCCGAAGTATATACCTCTGTGTATAATTCTTTTCAAAGATGAACATTGTGTAGAATACATCCAGAAACCGACTCTACGAGGAAAGACTAGGAAGCTGCCTCCGTGTTATTCATTCTCAAATAGGGCAAAATATCAATATTTTGGCGGCTTAAAATCAGTACTGTGACCGTCCCTCTTCCTAAGGGCCCCCATACACAAACAGTTTGGCCTCCAGTTCGGTCTGCACAGTTGAAGACAAAGGAAAAACTGATATGTGTGGTGCGGCCGTCCGGCCAATCGTTTGAACTGTTGGCCTGTGGGAAACCTGTCAGTCCGTCAGTTCTGCCTGCAGGCCCGTAGCACGTGACGTGTGTGA